AACAATACTGTGAAGTTTATAAAGCACTGACTCTGTTAGTGGATAGAATGCTATGTGGACTCAGGACTGGCAACTGTTTTCCATAGGATCCGTGTCACTATTTCCCACCACTCCTGGTCCCTAGACACTTGGGACACTAAAAGTGAAAGTGTTTCAGAAAAAGAATGTGCGGCATTTCTTTTGAAAGCAACCCAGAGAACTTACTCCTAGGAATATAAATCTGTAGTACACTCAGAAATAGCTTAATATTCCTGAAGAGAACTATTGACTAAACTTAGCAAAGAAGAACACATGAGCTCTTGTTTTTAAAAATGTTCAAGATTTTAGCTTCTTAATCCCATCAGAAATAATTAGGCTGATGGGCCAAGCTTTGGATATGCATAGCGCTGCCCTGAAGTAAACACGTGTGTTATACTACTAGCTCTACTTTATAGAAAGCCAAAGTAAAACTTAAACCTTCAATTAGTAGTAATATTTGTTCTATGTTTATGATTCTAATAACTCAACATTGCAAAGTTCTTCCCAACTACATATTTCATTGAGCTAGTGTTTCATTTATTCTTTATGTAATTTGCAGCAAACGAAGAATAGTTAAGGCTCCTGATCTGTTCAGGAGGAAAGCTATAAAACCGGAAATCAATCAGTAGTACTGCTGCAGTTTGTACTGTTGTGGGGAAAAAAAAAAACCAAAACTGAGTTAGTAGTTATATCTTTTCTTATACAGATGGATTTTAGGAAATAGGATAAAAAAATTAATAACCAAAAAAAATTTTAGTTAAAACTTTTCTGTGGTAACTTTAAGCTTTTCTGTTTTTAACTGAATAGCTTCAGCCATTTGATTTTAACTTAGAAATCTCAATCACTTAAGAATTTTTCTTCTTTAAACATTGAAGATTGCATATTCCATTTCTGAATAAATTTTATGAAGGTGATTTTTCCCTTTCTATTAATATGAAAACTTTTGAAATTTCATTTTGACCATATACTGCATGGTTATAAAATTTTAAATCTAAGAAACTTCACAGTTAAGCTGCTCCTTTGCTATGGAGCTGTAAGGCAAAATCTAATAGCTAAAACAAAATTTAAAATGTAAATTAAATTTTAAAAATTAACATGACTTATATGTATGTGGTAAATTGTAAGATTTAATATCTTTAAATTTTTGCAAACTTTCCTTTCACTAGCCCATACCTTCAGCTATCTAACGAAGTGAGAAATAGACAAAACCACTTGTGAAGTACTAGACATCATCTAATCTAGTACCTGCACCCTCTTCAATCCATTCTAAGAGTAACATGCCTGTACAGCACCCAGGTAAAAAGTTGGTCCTCCTGACCCCTGGAGCAAGAATATTTCTCTTGGATCCCATCTCTTATTTGATAGGAATTTAAGTTTCAATCCAAATAACAGACAATTTTCAGGAGTTGCCCTTGCTGAAAATGTTGTGTTCTTATCTTTAATATGAAGATTACTTTCAAAATGTTGTCTTTCTTTCTTTAAATTTTTGAAATAAATATTTTTATTAGAATACTTTTGGATTTGAAGAATTATTATGAAGATAGTACAAAACTACTATCTCCCACACAATTTCAAGTATTGTTAATGCTTGATATTAGTATCTGTATTTCTCACAATTTATAGCCCATTACTGATAAAGTTTTAGTAATAAAATTCACTCTTTTCTAGCTTTCCACAATTTTTCTTAATGTCCTTTTTGTTCCAGGACACTATCCTAGATACCACATGACATTTAGTAGTTATATTTTCTTAGGTTCTTTCTTTGCAGCCTTTCTTAGTCTGTCCTTGTATTTTATGGCTATAACAGTTTTGAAAAGTACTAGTTAGATATTTCTTAGATTGTTCTTCACTTGCTATTTTCTTCATAATTAGATTGGTATAATGTGGTTTTAAAGATGAAGAATTTAGAGATAAAATTCCATTTTCATCATGTGCTATCAAAGCTATATATTATCTATATAATTTATTGGTATTGACATTGGCCTTGATTACCTGGCTTCAGGATGTACGTGTCAAGTTTTACTGTTATAAAGGTATTATTCCTGTCACCCTTTTCATTCTACCTTTTAAAAGAAGATCACAATACGCAGCTCACAATTAAGGAATGGGACGTTATCTTCTATGTCTTCAAGGGCAGAATATCTGCATAAATTATGGAAAATCCCCCTGGATGTATATTTATGTATTTTTACTTTATTGATTCAATCATTTATTTTTATCATTATGAATTTATGGATATTTCTTGTATATTTTCACTAATAACGCAATGGTCTCTAATTTGTTTTTTGCTCAGATGGTTCTAGCTTTGACTATTGATACCTTTAGTTGGCTCCTTGACCCTTTTGACATACCCCACCATTGTATATGTGTATGTGTACTTGAAGACTCTTCCTTTTTGGATTTATAAGATGTCCTAACTTAGCATGTGTATTTCCTCCCTCAAACGATTGAGTCCTACCCTGAAGAATTTGCCCAAGAGCTCTGATTCATTCATTAGAGAATAATATTACAGACCTGGATTTGTGTGGTAGATGTGTTTGTTAGTACTATCATTGCTGCTAAGTCCTTGCAGCTGTGAGAGCGTGGAGATATGAGTGTTTCTAATAACTAATATCCACCAGCATCTATAAATATTTTTATATGTAAGCATTGCACGTGTGGAAAGCTAAACAAGAGTTTATCTTGGTGTCTCCGGCTTGAATACACATGGGTTATTTCAGCCTTCTCCCTTTGCTTGTCTTTTACTCCTATTGCAAAAGTAAGAAAGCATGTGGCCTTTATTTACTTCACTACTTAATTTCAGAATATGAATGGTGGTTTCAGAAGTACTCACTTTTCTGCCCATGAATCCTGCTCTCAATCCCTTTGAGTTTGGTCTTTCAGACTCCAGTCACTTTCAGAATTACTTAGGTCAGCACTTGATTCTCCTCTCACTTCATTGGGATTGCGTTATATAACTTTAGGATGCATTTCTATTCGTGTGTGTGTGTGTGTGCACACACACTCACATGCATGTTATTTTTGTCTTTCATCCTGGGATTCTCTAGTCTCCTCATTGATCTTTTTTTGTACACATTAAGGTTTATACAGTGCAATGAGGTTCAGTGGATTTCAACACGTTTAATGCTTTGGACTTTCTATTATACAGAGTAGTTTCAGTACCCTACGGTTGTCCCTGCGCTTTGCCCACTAGCTGTTCCTCTTACTTCCATACTCCTGTGAAAAGCTATGCGTTTTGTTTTGAAGTTTCTGATTGGGACTGAACTTCCCTAGAAATTACCATCAGAATCAAAGGTTAGAAAATAGGCTATTCCTCTCCTGTAGAAGCTGTTTAAAGCAAATTAGACATTTAATATTTCCTAATGTATGTTCCTTAAACTTCAAAGATTGTGGTGGTTTTTTAGAAACTAATACTTATTTGAACAAAAAAGGAAAATAGCTCAAGTTGGAAGAAAAGATCATTGAAACAGGGAAAATAATGACTGAGTTTGAAAGGTTGAAAGAGTGAGCTAACAAGTCATACTGATTTTTGTTTTTAAATTTCAAGATATATGTGATAAGGTTTTCTTGAATTCTACTCAATAAATTTAAAATTGGTACTTATTTTGTTCAAAAGGAGACCCACTTTTCCCCTCTCCTTAATTTTTCTTTCTCCTCTTTTCTTGTTATTTTCTTCCACAAGAATATTTACTCTCTGAGTTCCTATTTTGTGGCAGGCACTGTAATAGACTTTGAAAATGCAGAAAAGAAAATAGTTAACCATGCCCTCAAGGACCTTTCGTGTTATTATTGAGGCAAGAAAATATGAAAGGACAGTGCAGTGCAGTAATTGTTCTATTGGCACATAAAGGACTAGAGGAATAACCCTGCCTTGTAGGGTGAGGGAAGGCTTCCAGTTGAGGTGACACCTGAGCTTTGGAGCAAGTTAATGTTTGAGAGACACAGGAAATGTAGTGTAAAATGTACTGTTAGCTTACAGTTAAGGTTCCCATTAATCACAGCTAGGGGGATGGAGATGGACTGGAAATGGTAATGTGGCTGGTCAAGCTAACAAGTATGGATCACAATGGGCCTTAATTTAGATTCTATTTTAGGGCTAATGAGAGAGTCACTGAAGGATGATCAGCAAAGCAACGATCATGTCATAGAGCTTGGTAACCAGGGGGGAAAACTAGAGAGTGTATAAAACTTGGTTTTAAAATATTTCAAAGGTGGCTATTACTACAGTTAAAATAGGAGCTGATAGAGGTCTACTTTTGGCCAATGATAGAAAAGAAAGAGAGCAAGAAATATTGAGAAATATTGCAGCAAATATAAGGAATTGAAATTGGGTGCAGTGGTATGCATCTGTAGTCCCTCTAGTCAGGACCCCAAGGTAGAAGGATGCCTTGAGCTTGGGAATTTGGGACAAAACAATGGACGGGAACCCCTGAAAGATATCAGAAGAGGGCTTGGGATATAGCTCAGTGTCACAAGCACCTGCCTGGCAAGGGCAAGGTCCTGAATTTGATTCCTGGTACAAAAAAAAAAATGTGAGAAGAGGAAGGAGAGAATAAAGTAGTATTGAAGGATAAAATCCAGTGTTTCCTGAACACTACTTACTGATCTTCATTCTAATTAAATAAAATTTAAACTTTGATGGATGGTAAAGAAGCACACTTTGTTCAATTTTATGAACATTTGAATGGACTATTTTAAGATATTTTCAAGAATGAGTGCTAGCATTTCCTTAAATAATATTAATTGAAGAGGAACATAGTTTAAATTCTGAATCTTATTAAAAGGGGAATGTTAGAAATGAGTTTACAATTCCATGGCTCGCATCTATGTCATGAATATGAATGTAAATTTAAAGTTCTTCTCTGTTGTGGAGAAGTTCTTACGGTTTTTGAACATGCAATTTGAGAGACTGAACTGCTCGCTTGCGTTGCTGTTTATGATACCAGTCTAGAGTTTAATCTAGATAATTTGCTCCCTGGCAGGATGAATCCTTAAAGCAGCTGCGGGTAGCTCATCAAAGCTGGCTTTTGCCCAGTGACACAGAAAGTGAAGGAGTGGAAGCAGAGCAAGATAAACGTGAGTATCACTACTGTTTACTGACGAATTGCTTTTACCCAAAGGACATGCACAATGGAAGTACTTTTCATAACATTAAAACTCTCCTGCAAAAAACCCAGACTCACTGGGAGGAACAGTAAAGATAAGCCACGTATCTGGTCTGTAACTCTTGATTCAGTGATGATCAGATTGCTGTATAAAAATCTGCAAACTAACCTTTGGAACAGAAGGAATTATTTTTCTCAAATAGACCAGCATAGAATGTTGGGCAGAAATACTGGAGAATTATATTAGGGACAACTTTTAATTATTTTAAAACTTCAAAGTATGTGAGGGTCAGGTGATTTTTATAAATTAAAATATCTTTACTTGTTAAATGAGTAAATTTATGTACACAGAAAACATTCTAAAAATGGACACTATTATAGAACTTAAGATAAATAGATGTCATGCTCTTGATTTAACTGGATGATGATTAGAAAAGATGACAGATCAGTATACTATGACATGGCTCATGTCCTCATCGCCACAAGTTTTGTGACATTGTCACACACAAGGTTTCTGCAATCCCATTTGGAGGCTTGTGTCTGGATTATGTAGAAATAGCACGGACTTTTAAAATAATAGCATATCAAAAAATTTTGCCAGTAGTACCCTATAGAAAGAATTGTATATGATAGCTTCCTTTTATCATAACTGGTGTGATTAATAGGTAGCTCTCTTGAGCTGCAATCAGTAGGGATGATTACTATGTTATACAGGTAGCATCATGGGACTCTGTATTACAGAATGGACAAGAAATTACTTCTCTAGGTAAAAAGGCATTTTATAATATCATAATCCCACTTTCATAACCACATGTTCCTGTGGCCAGAGGTAGCACAAGTTAAAGGGAAATATAAGGATTAGGAGAACCAGAGTAGAGGCAAATACAGTGTCACTCAGTTGGCATGTTCAGAGATGCAGTGAAAAACATGGTGACACTGTGTAAATCATATGAGGAGCATCTTCTACAGGAAAAAAATTTAGAAAACTCTGAAAAAAATGTTCTTTAAATAAGTAACAAGAGAAGAGAATAATTTGGCAGACCTTTAAGCAAAAAATCTTAAGTAAAATTGTCTAGGAATAAGTAGCATGGGATCCAAAGAAGAAATTCTCCAAATCCCAAACAATGGGGCTCAGAACTTTTATGGAAAAAAGTGCAAATACAAGTACACTTTTCCCCTCTCTCACCTTCCTTCATATTTAAATATGACATAGGTTATTTATTCTGGAGTTTGTGTCCAACACCAAATTCTTTTAAGGATTTTATAAATTTTTATTTAAAAATCCTTCTACCAACTATATGTATGTAATATCTATACACTATATATATATATATATATATATATATATATAATTTGTGCTACTTTTACTCTGACAGTTAAAGCCCAACAGACAATCAGCCAAAGAACTATGTTAGTTGTATGTTTTATTTTATAATGGGTGAAAACTTAAATATTAGAAGACAATCAGAATACTGTATAGTATTTGATTCCAAGTTCAGACTTACTTCCTCTCCTCAAACCCGTAAGTTTCTGATCAGTATCGAGACTAAAATACATAGCTTAAAGGACATAAAATTCCCCAGACCTGTCTTCAACACTTCACATCTGATTATTATCTTTTGCATGTTATCTTCAGGGGATTTTGATGATAAGTTGTAATTTTCTCCTCTTCTGCTATAAAGCAAATGATCTGTGAGGAGTACACCTGTTTTCTTTACATACAATAAACTCTCAGTAAGTATCAGAAGATGGAATAAAGGAATGAGCAATGAATGGATGCCTTTGGTTCTTTCCAACTCACTTAATGGGACAGTTAGAAATGTAAAACCAATAATAATTGTGACTGTGCATAATTGTTATAAGATATTTATAGTTTTATTACAATTTTAATTTGGTTTCACAGTTTTACTCATGAATTTTACAAATGGTCTACCAGCCACTCTAAAGAAGGCTGTTCCTGAACTCTTGTAACCATAGACCTAGGACCAAAAACATTCGATCTCAGTGATGTTGCACTGGGATGTGACCCCTGATAGTGGTAAATTGTTTGAAATAAAATCAGGGTTGAGGTAATTAAGTGGTAGCAGGACCCATCTGGAAATAGAATGCTAGCTAGTGTTGTAGTCAGGTTCATAGCACGGGCTCATAGCACGGAAAGAAAAATGCTTTTCAAGAGGGACTTCCAACACAGGTGCTGGGACCTGTGCAAGTTGGAGCCACTGAAGCACCAGCGTCTCTGCTCATTCTTGCACTCCACGCACGTGGTTTGTGGGATGGAAAGATAGATGTAGATCATCTGCTTCTATTTTCTCGGTGAAAGGAAGTAAGTGACAGATCTGTGTGAGCCCCACATCTGATTAGAGTGTACAGGTTCATATACAAGTGAGGAAGGAGATAAGTTCATCATTTCCATAGCAACACCTGTTTCTCAACTCAGTTTCCTGTTAATACTGCCTAGGTAATCTTACGGACTTCTTTAATTTTTCTTGAAACAAAATCATAATGGCAGAAAATTTCCAAATAATGTCAGAATGTTTGCAGTGGTGCCTATTTCTTATTGCATCATTTATAAAAAAGATTTATAAACTTTACAAATGAGCAACTTTTAAGAAAAGATATCATGAACAATTCAATGGGAAGTTTTATACATTTTTTATAGAAAAGATAAGCACAATCTTCGATTAAGTAGATTTTTTTAGTATGCTATGAGAAGAAAAGTGTAAATTACAGGTACAAACAAACTCATGTTATTTTCTTAAATCTTTCAAATTATGCTCCTCATAATTGAACTCTAATAGTTATACTTTATGATTATTATAATGATAATTATACTTTAAATAATTAAACTCAGAAGTTACTTAAATCTACCCACAGATACATGTACCTACTGGCTTCCTCCATGTTCTTGGGCGCGACTTGGAGCTTACTGAATCAGGGTTCCTGTGTATAAAACTCAGATTTCTGCATTTTCATAATTCCTTGTGTGATTTTTGCCTATTTTAAAGACTGAAAACTACTGAAAGGAAAAGTTTAATGAATCAGGAAGTTATGCTTTTTAGAATGTAACTCTTGATTCAGTGATGATTTTCTAATAGCACCCCACTGTGCTACTAGACCCTGGGCCTTTTTCTCCTAATATACTTGAAGTCTGGGTACAAAATATAGGGTTAGGAAGAAAGGAAACCGAAACTTGAAAGAACAAACGTGGAGGAACTGAAGGGCAGAGCCTCCAGACTGCGAGCTGAGTGCTCAGAGAGTGAACTTGCTGAACATCCAGAGGCGGCCAGCCAGCCAGCGCCCTCTCGGCACATTTTATGTTTTTAAAAATATGAATAACTGAGGTAATACCAAACTAGAGAACAAAAAACAAAGGGAAAATACAAAACAAAATAAAGCAGAAGCTTAGTGAGAAAAGAGTTGGAACAGTCCCTAGAAGTTAGTGATGTCAGCCAGAAAGCAAGAGTATAAAGAGACATAATTTGACCTACAATTTAAGATGGATATGTCAATGTGTATATAACTCACATTGCATGTATGGATATACTGTGTGCTATATATGTATATGTATTCCAAACTCTTGGGGAAAAGAAAATATAGAAAGAGAGACAGTGATGACAGATAATGACTGTGATATTTCCAGAATTAATAAAATGTTTTGATTTTCAAATTGGGAAACAGAATAAACACTTCCTAACATTCATTTTATAAAAACATAGACTATCACCAAAAGAGAAAATCCTAAAGAAAAAAGAAAGAAAAATTATTTAAGATGTATGCATAAATAGGAAGGTTGAACTTAAAATTGAACTCTCATCAGGAGGGACTGCATGGCTCCAGTAGGCAGGGGTAGAGGAATCCTACGCCCCAAAGAACTATCAGGTATAAACAGAGGTTGACAATCAAAGACCTTTACTGAAGGAAGCACTCTAGGTTATATTTCAATAAGAAAAATAATTGATTTTAGAAGAAAGTTCACACATGAAAGAAAGAAAGAAAGGTGTGCCAAAAATTGATAAACATGTTGGCAACTTTTAAGAGTTAAATTTTTTTCAATAAAAAACAAAATAGGGGAGAAAATAGAAAAAGTAAGTCCAAAAAGTTTATTAATTAAAGGAGCCAGTATATGATACACACAGGAAGGCAAAAGTGCTACTCAATAGCATATAGTTTATAAAATAATGCAAGTTATGTTTATAACTATGTGGTTGTCAATCAAAGTATTTGAGCTATTTACAGGTCAACTATATGTACAAAAACAGAATATGAAAAAAAACCCACAATATGGGAAAATACATTTTATTAAAATTTTCAGCAAAATAAATTAAAATAAGAATGGATTCCAGTTAAATAGGTATTTATCAGGTAATAGGACTGATGTCTATCCAGACTTTGTTGGAACAGGTATTACGCTTATCTTAGCCCTTGGGGAAGCATATAGGCCTGGTTAGTCCATCCTTATCTGAGGCCTGGCTCTAACCAATGCGCCTTGGGTCACAGTTGTAATGTGCTTCGTCTTTTGTAATGACTCTCTCAATGGCCCAGCCCTGTCTGACTGCCTATAATATTTCTAACTTAGCTGTCTATATCATATGTGTATCTCAGCATGCTTTGCTGTATATATTTGATTGTTCTTGCTAAATTTAAAATGTTAATAGTTATGTTTACTTACCTCTTACAAAAGCATGACAGAAGACTTACATCAACTTTTTAACCTGTCTTCATTGAAATTTTTAAAAAATCAATGTTTTAGTCTGAAATGATTTAGAACACAAGAAATTGTAAAGATAGTACAGAAACTTTGCTTGTTTTAATTTCTTTTCTGTTGCTGAAATAAAATACTCAACATCCAAAGGTAAAAGAGGAAAAGGTTTATTTGGCTCACAGTTTGTAGAGATTTTAGCCCATAGTCAGCTGGCTCCACGGCAGCGGGGCATGGCAGAGGGGGATCACAGGGGAGAAATAGTTCACTCA